ACCGAGGGAGACGATCCCAGTGGAACGCCTGTGCAGAGTCTGTGTCTGGAAGAGTCACCATACGTGTGTTTTTAACATTTTCTTTAAAATCCTGATTATCGCCAGAGCTGCTGCTGCTTCTCCTTCTTCTCCACCTTCCTGAGGAAAGGATGCAGCTAAAGTCCTCCCGAGCCAAGGGGTCAGACCACGTGCCTGGACCCAAGGGGAGCAACCAGGAAAAAGGTGTCTGCCTGGCTGGGGGAAGTCCAACAAGGAACAGAGGTCTGCCCGGCCTCCAGGAATGTTTCTGCAGCGATGGGAATGTAAATCCCTCACGGGGCTCGGCTTCCTGCGAGTAGGAGAGTTAAACCTCCCTCTTGGAAACAGAAGAGCTGGCAGGATGTGTGCTCAAGCCTGGGCAAAACCTGGGCTTGCCAGGCACTGCTGCAGCTCTGGGCTGCAGGCTGTGAGCTGCGAGAGGGACAGACACGCCACCTTCACGCATCCATCGCCTGCCACCTCCTGTTGCAGGGAGGATGGCGGAGAGCAGCTAGTGCTTCCTCTGGAAGAGGCCTCCAGGCTCTCAACAGCTGCCCTTTCCTCCCCAGATGTGCTGTAGGTCACCCCACACACCCCCTGCCAACACCTCCTCCAGCTCTGACCTACACAGCCGATGGGACAGGGCTTCCAGCCAGCTTTCAGCTCTGAGCAAGAGCTGTGGGACTGCAGTTCCCTCCATCACTCCTGCTGCGGGAGAAGGGTCCCAGCAGCACACAGCACATGTCCCCTGTCATGACCCTCCAGCAGCAACATCTGGGGACAGAGACGTGCAGCCGAACGCCCAACACCAAAGCACCACCTCCCCTCTGGATCCACCTGCTCTAACACGGGCAGGGTCTGAGGGAAGATGCTCCTTCTGCAACGGAGACTCCCGGGCAGCTCAGGACCATCCTTCCAAGGAATATGCTCCTCATGCTGCGACCAGCTCCACGGGGCCCCACACGCCCAGAGCGCGGCGGCAGAACAGTCCAACAAGGTTTGCTTTGCCGGAGAAGGAGACGCTTCGTGGTGCCGGCTGCCCAAGGAGGAACATGATAAATTCCATCCCCAGAGCGAGTTACAGCAGCTCTGCTGTTCCAGTCGTGCACGGGAGCCTCAAGAACAAAGCTACTTAAAGAAAGGTAAAAGATGCCTTAATGGGACGACGGGAAAAATAAGGACATAGCTGAGGACAGGTAGAGATGTCACTGTAAAAACCCAGAAGGAATAAGGAAGCAGATGGGAAAATCCGAGGTGTAGGCAACCACGAGGAAGAATACTCTGGAAGGGGCCCGTTCTCCACACGTCACAGCTGCATCTCCTGGTATCCGAAGCACGGGGAGCACCACCAGGATGTTGGAAATGGAAACAGGCTATAGCACCGCCAACCACACACCATCCATGTATCCCAAAGCAATGGGCTACAGTTCTGGGACACGTCAGGGGCTGGAATGGAGAAGAACAGCCCCTGGACGGCCTCCTTCAGCAGCTCGATGCCATGTGCCCAGTGACTCTCTCTGGAAGCTCCTCTCCGTTCTGCTGGCCACACACAAAGCCTTTATTTCCAAGCAGACTCCAAAAGAACAGCTGAAGTGCTACAGCCAGCAAAAAGGGATTGCCCCCCCCGGAACTGCCGCTTTAGGCCAGCGCAGCAGAAGCCAGCTCAGGAAGAGCACTCGGAGTTGCCACGTCCACGCTCGACAAACGCGCTGTCGGCACGAGCCACAGAGCTGACCCCAGTCCCAGAGCAGCTCCCGCGGCACCAAACACTGCAGGCACCCCTCCTGGTGTTCACACGAGTGGGAGGATACTGGGATTGCTGGCAGCAGTGAGAAGTTTTCCCAAGACAAGCTGGCTCCGTGAGGCCATCTCAGGATGATGGGAAGTAGAGTGCTGCCCTCCACCCTCAGAGGAGAGCTTGACTGAGAGCTCACTCGACCCCCTAAGTCTTGAATCAGTTTTTGTTAAACACCTGCTAGGCCAGGCTCACAGGGCAGCAAGAGGAATCAGCTGGAACAAGACAGTTCCAAAAGGAAGAAGATTTGGCTCCCCTGGTACAGCAGAGAGGCCCGCAAACTGGAATGCATCCAAGAGAGGCTGCCGAGATGGCCAGAGGCTGGCGTCTAAGGTGTATGATGTGGGCACACCTCCCAACAACACTTATCCCAGCTCCTCCAATGCCTCCAGCTCCTCCTTCATCTCACTCCAAAGTTCTCGCACGTCGATGTGACTGCTCTCACTCACTGCTTGTGGGGACAGCAGGAGTCTTTGTCCCTGGTGATGGAATGCAGCTCCATGAAGCTCTCTCTGCAGAGCCACTGAAGGACACTTTAACCAAGACTCTAGGCCTGGAGTTCCCAAAATATTCCCAGGCAGGACACTGGGCTCAAAAGCAAAGCCCACGATGCACAGGGCTACCTGCACCTCCCCTGAAAGCAGGTTTGCACCAGGTCCCTGTGGAATGCTCTCCTTGAGCAGCCCCTGCTGCGATGCTGGGTTCAGGAAGGCGGTGGGAATGGCTGGTGTCAGAGCACGCAGCCGGAGGTGCCTCCCACCCTGCGGATCGCAGCGCCTTGGTGGTGGCACTGGACCCGATCAGCTGAGACCCCACGAGTGTGCAGACACGGCGGAGCTGAAGAGGTTTAGCTGTTACAGCTGCAGCATTTCACAGGTCCCAGGAAGGACGCTGCAGCTAGAAAGTCTCTCCTAGGGCTGCGTGGGGAGAAATGTCCATGGGCAGCGTCTGAGGTCTGGAAAACCTTTTAGGATCTGAAGTCAGCCCAGCAGAGAGCAACCTACATGTCAAACTGATGTGAGGGAAGTCCTATCTCCAATGCCAGCAGCGTTATAACACTGGGCCACAGCCGAGACCTTTGTCACCCTCACCGAGGAAGAGGAAGCCGGCAGTTCCTGCCACGGCCTACGCAGAGGTTGGTACGGCTTTACGGAGGGCCTCACGGGTAAAGTGCCACGGGGGGCTGCCCAGACGAAGCGGAGCCTCAGCTGGGGTGTTCTCACAGCTCATCTGTTTCTGAGCTAAGCACGAGGCACTTGGATAACAACTTGCAAATCAATTCTATAAAACTGAACTCTTAAACCGCACGAAGCCTCTGGTGAGGTGTACAACCACGCTCAAAGCGGAAAGACCTCAATTCAACTGAGTTCCGCTCATTTGTGAAAATGACTGCAACAATTCAAACCAAGTCTCGGCTGACATGAACCATCAAGGAGCAGCCACGGACAGTCAAAGCCCAAATAACCTGGGAAAACCAAGCCAGAAATGTCATCTAGGAATCGGTGGTGGGTTGAACCCTGTACCTCCATCACACACCGCAAACACATTTCTCTTCCCCGCACTGAGTCATGAACACGTTAGTCAGAATGTGAGCACAACAAGCAGAAACCACTAATGAAACCACAAGAACAGTTGAAATTAGAAGAAAAAACCTCAAGCACCAGGTACAGGACAGATATGTCACAGCAGAAAAAGCCACTGCACTCCCCAAAAACCAGAATCAGGTCACCGGGGAAGCATCCCTGCTGCTTGGTCTACAGGGATCTACTGCCAGTATGTGACTCACATCGTCGGGGGCAGGAGGAGTGACCCAGCCCTGCTACGTGCAATTAATCATCATTAGGAGTGTGGCCTCTCCAGCACTAACCTTGATGTAACAGCAAGGTGGTTTCTACCACAGTGACGGTCTCCATGAGAGGCCAGAGAGGCCATCCCATCACGCATTCCTTGGCACCAGGACAACCAGGTATCTAAGAGCATCTCTTGCGTTTTTTGGTAGCAAAAGGGAAACCAAACTAAAAAACAATGTACAGCTTTGCTGAGAGACCAAGTGGGGCATTAATATGACACATAACAGAGAGACTTGGCTTTAAGAAATCACAAAGAGAAAGAACAAAGAAAACTCAGAAAGAGATAAAGACGGTGTTGCTACGAAGAGGAAAGCCAGGTCTGACTGCAGCCAGACAGCAGCAAGCTAAACGGTGACCAACCGCAGAGGAAGTTGTCAAATGTGAAAGGCAAAGCCAGGTACCGGAGTACTGCCAACCTAAGTGCTCACCATCAGCCCTAAAATCGGATCCTACAGAAGAGTCTCTTGCCAGGGCAGGTTCAGACACTGCCTGTGGTTCAGCAACAGCCCTGGGGCTGCCACTGAGTCCAAGTGTCTCTGCAACTGCAGCGAGGGAGGGACTGCAGGCTGGGGCCACAGTCAGCACTGGCACAACGAGCAGGGCTGGAAACCAACAGATGAGCTTTCAGGCACATGAGCTGTTCCCCAGAACTGAAACAAACCCCAGATTTGCAAGCTAAATTCTTCTGCTTAGTGCAGACCTCTGCTTCTGGCTGCCCAGAAGAAAGGCTTTGGTGTACAGAGCTCCCTCTGCTTTGTTCAATGACGTAAGTTGATATTTTCCTCCATCCCTAAACCTCGTGCCGTTTTCTCAGACCACCATGGCTCTAGCACTGCTTTGACACCCTCACCAGAAGGCAGCGACAGGCACTCCCCACCACCTCCAACACCATCCGCACATCCCTGCGGTGCAGGGGCACCCGCCCCCTGCTCTACCTTGATTTCAGCCCTCACGTTGCAGCTGCAAACCAAGCCTGCAAATGCAGCAAACCCTTAAAGCACTGGGCTGCTGCACAGATGTCACACACCACCTTCCTTTCTCCAGGGGCACAGAAGCTCTCGTGCTGCTTGGAGCCCTGGCACAGGTTAACCTCCATTTCTCAACACGGCCTGTTCATCTTTCACTGAGCCTTCCAAAAAAAAGGTGCGGAAGGACAGTTCCTCCCCTGCGCCCAGACTGAAGCTCCTTCCTAACTATCCTTCCAGAGGATGCAAAGCATGTGGTCCTGCTGCACAGCCTCACCAGTCAGAACACTCAGAATGCCAAAAGCTTAGCAGCACTCAGTCCCTGGGCCTGACACACACCACAGCAGCGACACTTAGTCCATCTTACTTGGAGGTCACTCACCCACAGATCCTTGCTGGTCCCTCTTGGACCTGAAACTGAAGTAATTTTCTTAATAATCCCTCAAGAAACATTGCTGCTCCCTTTTGAACGGCTCAGACCAAGCTGGTACTGACCCCAACCCGCAACCTGATCCTGCATGTGCTGCCTGCAAGGGTGAGCACAGCTCCGACTGGTGTTCTCAAGGCACTTCCAAAATTCAGAAGTGCTCATTTAGATCAGGGTTACACAGGGGGCGTCAGTAAATACTATTATTACTGAGCCCTAGTGACAGAGCCCTCCTGTATGGAGAGAACGGGAGGTTTGTGACCTAGTACAAAACCTGACAGCCCAACCAGGCAGCACCCACGGATGTTCTTGCAGGCTAACATGACCTGCTGCTACCAATACAGTGGTAGACGACTTCATATTCATCAGTCCTGCCCCTCCAGCAGCTCTGAGAGCTGGATTTATTTCTCAGGGCTGTGAGATGCTTCTACAGTGCAGCCACTACCGTAGGCAATGCCGAGTCTTCTGCTCTTCCCACTCACAAAGACAGGCGTTTGAGAGCCTCGTGCTCTCGGAGAGGCGCGCACCACGAAGGACCAAGCTCCTCCAACTCCCATCATTTGTGCGTGACAGGACCTACCTCACCAGGTCTCCTGCGAGGCTGTAGGATGTGTATGGCTGGGACCGAGTCTGTGGGCAATAAATACATCAGTGACTTTGTGGAGGTGGAAGAGACCTTTTTAATAAACAGGATTCCAATAAAATAAAAAAATCCCTCTGAACTGCCACTGCGAGAAGAGTTCAGATAACTAGCACAGAAGATGATGCTGCATGTGCACGATGGAGGGAGAAGGGAAGAAAAGAACAAGCTGTCACCAACTTGATGAGCTTCCTCAGTAAATCAGCAGAAACCAGCTCAGCAAACCTCTCCAGATAAAATACTGGTGGATCCATGAGAAACAAATCAAAATAAAGAGAAATCCCTACATCGGAAGGCGCTACATCAGAATAACCAGCGAAATACTGAGTGCCGCTGGAGCCGCAGCAATGGCAGGGAGACAGGTAAGATCTGCCAGTCGTTCCCGGGGTCAGGAATAGCCACACGTGAGGGACTCGCTCAATCCTTTCGCAGGCAGCGTGTGTGTGTGCTAGAGGGGGTGTTGGTGGCAGGGAGGTCAGGCTATCGAACGAGGTGGTGGTGTAGAGTGGCAGCAATGGAGAGTGAAGGGCAGCACTCAACGATGTCAACTCCGTCTTGCTCTGGTGGCTAGTGCAAATAGTCGTCTACTCTGGCAAAGGAGCAGGAGCCCAAGCCCACGCGAGCCATGAGCCGCAAACACTCCGAGGCCTGGCCCAGGGCAAGCATCAGCGGGGGCTGCTTTGGCAGGTTCTGAGATTCTGTGGGGGCAAAAAAAAAAAATCTGTTTAGAAGAGGCATCCTGGCTGCATGCGCTTGGGTCCCTCTGTGTCCCACCTGGGAACCAAGCCTGGCATCCCTGGCAGAAGGTGCTGGCTCTGGAAGGAAGTTATGCCCGAGTACTGCTGGCTCTGCACCACTGCTCCTCTGGACACTCCACGCTGGCCTGCCTGCCCGTGACACGTCCCACCTGGGGCCACAGCTCAACGGGGCCTTTGAGAAGGGGCTGCTGTGGCATCAGAGCAAGAAAAAGGCAGTGGAGCTCCTGCTGCCTCCGTGTCTGCCAGAAAATCCTCAAAGCATGAGAGATCAAAGCATGGATGAGTAAGTGAAGGCAGGAGAACCTGACACCTGAGGAGCACACTTGGAAGCAGCACTGAGAAAGACCCAAGGAAGGGAGCCAAAAGATTAGACTGGGAGGATCTGTGCTCCGCAGGCTTCCATCCCACCTCCCTTCCTGCATCACTGCCCTGTCAGTCCCAGGAAGAGAGGTAGAAGCTAAACAAGTATTTCTGACCTGCTCCTAACCCTCACAAGCTTGCCTGCCACAGGACATCCCCTGAGAGCAGGTACATCCAGCAGGCAGTGCCCACCCAGGAACCAGGCCTTACCCAATATAGCACTATTAAGAGCAGCACACACAGGTTCCCTCTGGATCGGGTCCAGCTGTTGACCAACGGGGCAATTCCAAGGGTCTGAGTAAGCTAACAAGCTAAACGCGTCCTGCGTGAGAGAACAGAAAGTCACAGTAAGGTCACGCATGGCTGCAAACACACAGGATAAACCACCACGTCTGTCAGCTGGGGCACCTCCTGCCATCGCCAAGGTGACAGCTGCCTACCTCCTGAAAAGAAATGGCCCTTTTCTTCTGGGCAGCAAAGGACCCCACTGGGCCATCAAGATAGTGGATTAAAGAGGGTGCCCCCTCCACCTGGCAGGTAGGGTGTCACCTGGAGAGAAGAAGAGCGAAGGCAGGAGTTGCACATCTCTCCTGTGCTGAGAACTGGGTCTAGATGCTCTGTGTTCACCAAGTTTCCATCTCTGATCCCCATGCAGGCCCCCTCTTCCTCACCAGGTGCACAAGTGGGGGCCACCCAGAGCTCTGCAAGGGAACCCCCATTGTCAGTCCTGGCCCAGAGAACTGCTGCGACACAGCGCAAGACCCAGGCTCACCTGAAGCATCTTTTTGTGCATTGTGTTCTTCCCATATTCTCTGCAAAGCTGCTCGCTCAGCATCTGCAGCTCCCGTCCAAACTGGATCATTCGCTCCGTGGCAGCATGGTTCCCTCCGCAGAGCTGCCTCTGGGGGCAGCTGTCTTCTAGAGGAAAGGCAGCGGAGAAGTAACAATCTCTCTCACTCCCCTTACTGTCCCCTCTACCCATGAACTCCTTCCCCTCCTGCAGCAGGTAGCTGGTTCCTGCTCTAAGTTTATCCCAGTGGAAGCTTTTTCTGATCCCTACATTACAACAGCCGGCAGTGATTTTTTCACAGCACCTATTAGGTACAGGGAAACTTGAGTTCAGCTTGTTTAATGCTTGAGGGCCACCTACAGATCGAGTGTTCTGATAAAATCATAGGAACTTGCAACTCCGGCTGCGTTACCCTTTGATGTGTGTAACGCAGCGCACACAACTCGGAAACCCCTGGTCTAACTAACCCTGGACTCAAAAAACTTTCAGAGATGCTGACACCATCAGTTTTCCAATATTAGGTGGCCACAACACCCATGTAACTGGTAGAATCCCCAGTTTCAGAGGTAGTGTAGCTAATTCTTCCTCTCCCTCCTGGCTGCGCAGCTGGGCATGGGCCAGCCTGCCACAGCTCGGTTCAGTTCCTCAGCTGGAAGAGGTGACAGACTGAGCTGGAATTCGTGACGAGCGCTGAACCACCCTTTGGCTCCCATCGCTTTCCCTGCTCCACAACATCACTAGTACTGCTGCACAACTGTGATAAGCCAGACCCAGTTTTAGTTCCAGGACAGATTCCTTTTCCCCACGAAACAGGCTTCTTGAGAACTTCATTCATTGGGGTGGGGAAAGAAACCCAAAGTGCACGTTTTTTCCCCTCAATCTAATCATAATTTTAACTCCCGATACCAGCTCCTTCTACTTCCCATCACCCCTCCTGCCTCTGAGGCCCTACCCATGCTGGATTCATCCGTCTGCAGGATCTCTTCATGTTTGTAGGTGCCATTCATTATCCTGGTGGATGAATTTTCCAGGACTCCATTGGGGTAATGCTCAGCCTCCATTTCCATCTCGCTGTCACTGGGGTGAAAGGAGGAAAGAAACATCAGATGTCTAAATTAGAAAGGGAAGAAATGAAGAGCTCAGATGCCAAATGGTACCCAGCAATGGCCAGTAAACCAGGAAGGGTGCCAGTCAGACAACAGGGAGCCAGATGGTCTAATTCAGTGTAGCAAAAATTGCTGCAGGCTTCTGAAGACAATTTAGAAAGCAGGCTTCTGTTCTGAAAGTGCTTGTCCTAATTACAGGTGTAGAACGCTTATCATCTTCCCTTCAGGAAGCAGTCACCTCTGGGACAGCAAAGAGCAGCCAGACAACAGGCTAACAGACTGAACAGGAGGGAAATCTCGGCTGTGGTAAGCCATCAGCCCTTGCAAAAAGTGCAAGTGACCTCAGACAGCCCTGCCACAGCAAGCTGGAAAGGGAGCCCAAAGGAAGCTCAGTTCTCACCACAGCTCAGTGTGCTCCACAGCCCAGTAAATGCAGCAGTCCGGCTTGCTGTCACAAGTATCAAAATGATTCAGAGGCTCACTGGGAAGGAACTGGGCAACAGGTAGAAGTAGCCCAAGAAAAATACTCCAGAGGACAATGCACCAACTCAGTAATCCCTTGAGCTGCTGCCTCACCCACGAAAGGGCGGGCAAGCTGCTCAGCAGCAGTAACCGACTGGCTGGGGCAGCGGTAACAAAAACAGGCTCAACGGGAGAGCTGCTATGGAAATTATCCTGTTGGGCTCTGATGCCATCAGTTTAATGGGAGAGCCGGCTGTCTGAAACAAGAGCATCACAGTATTCCTTACGAGATGAGCCTCCAAGCAGGGGAACTGGAATAGGATTGTGTCTGCTGGGACAAATAGTGACCCTGTAGACACAAAGAGTTCTGCAGGACGGATGCCCTTCCGGCTCCTCAGAAAGCAGACTGAGCCCTCTCCCACCATCTCACCCTCCTCAGGCATCTACAAAGGAAAAAAAATACCTGGTTTCTTGGTTACTCGTACTACTGTGCTGCTGAGATTTGGTAGAATCTGTAGAATTGGACTCAGAGTAGTTCACAGATGAGGGGGAGGAGGAAGAGGAAGATGAAGATGATGAACTCAGTGTTGGGTATTTACTGTGACTCTGTTTGCTTTTTGTGGACATGACTCCATTGCTACAGGTTGGACTATCTGCTCCTGGAAGTCAAAAAGATAAGGAGAAATGAGACCAGAGTGACAACATCCCTCTCTTTTGAAGTCAATAATTCAGCAAGAGAAGCGGAGCCCAAAGGAAGAAAGCACAGTAAGACTGCAGATCTTAAACGATGATTCATCGTTCCTGAATTCAGTGGGGTTTACAGAAAACAGGTATGAATGTGGAAGGAACCCCACCGCTCACCAGCAACATCTGAGCTTAAGGAATTGCCAAAAACGGGCTGTAAATAAGAGACTGGCAGAACCAGCTCACACAACCACAGAAATTGCTGTCGAAATAAAGAAGCGTGGGTGGTTTGCAAAGAAGTTTACAAACTCTCTTTGCACAAACCCAAATATTTCTCATAAACCCTCTGTCCAGGAAAACTACGAAAGCACAGGTGAAAGCTGGGCCATAAGGAGAACTCTTTGAAAGCAGAATTTCCCAGGTCTTCCACAACCTAGCTCACATTAGGGATATACTTGATTCACACAACACTCAGCAAACAGCAACCACCCTCTTAAAAATCACAAGGTCATTCAGAAGAATGAACCTCACTGAAAGGCAGGTCAGGCTTGAAACCTCATCCGCCCCACAACAGGCACCTATCAAGCCACGGAACTCAGTGACACAAGACACAAACCTTTGGTCATGAGCACAAATTTTATGTGGATTCAAAAATGACTGGCTAAAATCATACGGGCTATTAAATACCAAGGCAATAGCAAATCATCAGGGGCTCAGATAGTTTGGAAAAACCTCACTGTGGGCTTGCCTTCTTCCTATATTCTTCCCTAGGCAACCAATACTGAGCACAAGCTCTTGACTAGATGATGTGACCTGGCATGGCTGTTCCTCCAGAAGTGACCGTGTTATATCCAAATTCATCACCTGATCCCACAATTATATTTATGGCTAGGGAATTTATTTATAATTTTCTCATGACAACACAAAGAGCCAAAGAAAAGGCAGTTTGGGGCATTTTAACGACAAGGACACATTAGTCTGCGCACAACTGTTCCGCTTAACCTTCGCAAGGCGCGCTGATGAAATGATCGCTATTTTGAAGTCGCTGCGGTCTGGCAGAGCTGTGGAAGGTGGTGTCCCATGTATGGAAACAAATACATATGAATGCTGCCTTGTGTTGCAGTTTTAGTTTTTCATGTAGACAGTTGAAAACAGGTATTACCAACAGCTTTTATGGACTGATGGGAGCATTCTGACTATCTAGGCAGAAAAACATGCCCAGGGTTTCTCGCAATACAATACAGAAAAATGAAGATACTGGCTTGGTAAGGTGAGTGGCAGCTTGGAGGCATTGAAGTAATTGTCTCCTTTCCCATAAATGTTTGCCTGTCCACAGTTGGGCACATGCAGCAGTGGGAATATGGAAACAACATACACTCAGCTGGCCATGAGCAGCTCAAGGCTCAGTGAAGCAGGTCAGACTGTTTTCAGGGGCTCTGCAGGTCCCTGGCCCACTCCATCTTCAAAGCCATACTCAATAAACACCCAGGGAAAATAACTTGGATGTTGTGCTTTACCTTGTTCTTTCCACTTCAAATCCTAAACTTTCAATTCCCAAACTGCAAAAAGTTGGTGCTTCAGAGCTGGGTTGTGCAGGTACAGAATTGCTCCCTTCTCACGTACAGAGCTGCATGGTAGAGCCCATGGGAGATGGGGAAGCACTCGTACAAGGTATCCCCCTAACCTGTGGCTCGGTTGGCCAGAACAGTACATCTTCTGCTCTGTCCTTACTGGAAAGCAATTCTTTCACAGACTCCAAGGTACAGGAAACAGGCTTTGTTTTCCAGACCTCCTCTTACAGCTTGGTCAGTGAAACAGAGTCACTAATGGCTGCATTAGAAGGCTTCAAAAGCTTCTTTATTCTGAAAAAAATCTGCTCTGCAGACAATTGCCTGTGGAACGTGACTAATGCAAACCCAATTCTGCATAGAGACATCCACAAACCAGTATGTCCTCTCAGCTGGGTATCACAAAGGAAAGAAGCATTTCGTAGAATAAGGTACAGAAGGCAGCAGGTAGTGGATAGCAGTCAACCTTTAACATTTGCTCTTCTCACCAGCGACTCAAAAACCACACTTACCGGTACTATGAACGTGTGAGTTGCTTGATCCGTGTCTAGGACTTAAGCTGGGGGACCCAGGGTAACTGTCCTGGGATCTGGGGCTGCGGGCACTGAAACAACGTACTTCACTGTCTGTCCCATTCACCATCTCCACAAACTGCCGACACCTGATTTCATAGGAGGGAAGAAGCAGAAAAGGGTGCGTGACAGCCAGGATGCTCTGCGTTTCCTTCGTTACTGAGTGGATAAGTCCTAGAAACTGCATAGAAGTTAAACTTCAGACTCCTGGTACCGTGAGTGCTCTGATAATGCTATGGGAGGAAGGAGTTCAGAAACTGCAACTCTGATGCTAATGAATGTTGAGACATTCCCAAAAAGCAAGTTTCTTTCCACTGTGCTAAGAAGAAACTGTTCCTTCACAGCATGCTTCCATCCCCACCACCTCTGCAGCTACTCCAAAATTCAGTTGTAGGTTTTTTTTTCAGGGAGAAGATACCAAATCTGCCAAATAGCACAGGTCCCCCGCTACTCTATCAACCAGAAATACTTCCAATGGAAAACAGACAAGGAAGGGGAAAAATGCAATCTCCTCACTGACAGTGAGGACAGGTCCCCATTTAGCTTTACTGGGCACTGTCCCAACATGTCCCAGGGGGCTGGGGAGAGCCCCTCTGTATGGCTGGGAGAACTGGGACACATAAGCACTTTTGTCCTTCAGTCTCTGCCCCAGACAGTCTTTTCCATACATCTGCCTTTCTGGGAACCTTCACAGCAACTGTCCTGCACGCCAGTGTTGCAAGATCTCCACAGGACAAGCAAAGGCCATCTGTGAAGGAGTTTCTGACAGCCAGCAGAGCCAACATGTCACCCACCTCTGCCTGACCTCCTGGGGCAAAGCCACACTGAGTCTGAACACCAACAAAAGGGCTACATCTACACTGCAATAAGCACTGTGCAAAGGACTAAACCTATGTCCTCTCCCACCTGCTCCCAGAGGGATCTCAAGCAGTTTGAATTCAGACCACAGTCCAGACTGGATGGCTGTACAGCCTCTTCCTTCTCTCCTTCATCTACACGGTTCTCCATACTTACTTTAACATGAAGAGCAGGTTGGGGTTATGTTCTAGGAGGCCAGGATAGAGCTGCTGGGTGGCTTCTATAGCCTCTCCCACTCTGCCTGCTAATACTAGCTTCTGTATTCCTGAAAAAAAGAAAGGAGACTCATTGACACACAGGACCGGCCAGCAAGAATGGCCAGCAGTGTTGGCCCACACACTTCACGGCTTCCCCCGCCACCGTGCACAAGGGCTAGGGAGAGCTGGGGACCACATTTTGTTTATTATGGATTAGGGTGAGGAAAAGCCTGTGAAAATGAGGAAGAACCTGTCAGTAGCTCAGAAACATCAAGAGTAGAAGGATCTGAAAGATGAAGTGGGTGCACTGGGATGGGGTGCACTGGGATCTTAGTCCTACAGTCAAAGAGCTATGCAGCAATGGATGCGAAAGCCGGACACAACATCTGGATGGGAGCAAGGAGGCTGCTGGGGAAATGACCATTTCAGAGGGGAATCCCCTAGGTCAACCCCACATTACATCCTCTGGCTGGTTCCTATATGGCTGACCACCACACGAGCAGAGGATTCTTAGAGTCTGTGGGCTTAACCCACAGCACTGTACTGCTTACCCACTGTCCCCACCAAGTAGAAGTAATTATACCAACAAAACTGCAAGGTTCCTGCAGGTACCACCTCAATATATTCCCAGAGAAGGAGCCTGAGCAATGAGGAATGTGGCACCCGTCAGCCAGCCCCAGGAATCAGCTATTCACTAAGCTAGAAACAGCCCAACAAGTTGTACATTTCTAGGAGGTGCAAAGATACCAGGCAGAAGCCATCCATCATCCTGGGTGTTCATGCCCGCGGTATGTTCCTTCAGTGGGTCAGAAGACACAAGTGCAAGACCCAAGAGTCACTGATCCGATCCCAGAATGCTCAGGGAAGCTGCTGGTCTACCGATCATTTTAGTTTTTGCTAAGTGTACATAAACCAAAGCCTAAATGTACTTAAAATGAAAAATGCATTGCGCTTCCCTCTCTGTTTTTCCAGGACTCCTTACAAACGACAGAGAGGAGGTTCTGACTCGCCTGTGAGGTGCTTTGCAAGCAGAGGCTCTAACAGCAGGCTGTGACTTTCCCAAGTCACAGCAGTTGAAGGCCCAGCCTGGTGATCCTCATCAGCAACCCCCAGTAACCGCCTGCAACAACCTGTCTGGTCTCCCACTTCTCAGTGTCTATTTGCTTGTGTCGCAGCTGAAAGCTAAACCCAAAGACGTGGCTCTCACACCAACATATGTTGCAGAGTCTCCTTCATTTCACTGTTTCTTCGACTTACTTGCACGTCCGTTTTCACGTCTCGCTGCTTTTGACAGCTCTCTGCTTTGCCTTGTTTGGCAACTCTCACAGATGTCACCTCCTTTTATATTTTCCCCTCTTTTTGTTTTCCCATCTGTGTTTTCCTCACACCTTTTATTTAAGCCCCAACTTCAGAGCTCTATATTCCTTCCCTCCCATCTGCCTCGTCACCTGCCCTCAGACGAGCGAGACTGCACTGTCTCGCGTGCCTCCCGTACGCCTTCCCCAACTACACCCACACCAGCCAGACTGGCTGGGGTCAGAGTTGCATAATGCATGACCTGGAAAGCACGATGCCCATCAGCACTAACGGGCAGCCACGAGGAGTTATTCTGTGTACTAAGCAGAGTCCCCAAATGAACCTGAATGCTGGCTAAGCGTGTGTAATGTATGGGGAGCGAGGTACAAAGGGGCACGATGCTCCTGATATGTAACAGTCACATGAGAAACGGTTCACAAAGGGAAGGGAAATGTACAGAGCGGGACGTAGGCTGCATTCAGCAGGCAGGAGAATGCAGAAAACACACCAATGTTCTGTGACTCTGCAGTCTGAGCCTGCAAATAGAAAAGCTAAAAAAAAAAAGGTTCCACAGGAGAAAGAGGTAGGCCCTCTTCTGCAGGAACTAGAAGCACTTACAGCCTTACCAAGAGATGAACCAGCAGTAACCAAAACAGACACAGAATACAAATTCTTCACCGAGCATAAGCTAAACACATTGGCTGTGAATCTGAAACCCCCTCAGTATGCAAAGCATTCACCTGAAGACAAAATGTGCTAAGGAAGACTCATTAATTCTGGGAGCCATAGTCAAAGCAGACTGATGTGTATGGCTCCCTATGACCATGCTAATGACACTGTCCCTGCTGCAACAGACTGCATCCAAGAACCCAAATCCAAAGGGATCTCCAGTGCACAGTGACGTCAGTTCAGGTAAAGTCCAAGGCAATAGTTCCTTTCTCCAGCAATCTGGCACTACCTCCAAGAAAGCACCTTCAGTCCCGGGCATTACGTTTAGCCTGATGTATGAAACTGCGGGACTGAGCGTCACCCCATCTCTCTCAGGAGCCAGCTATTCATTTTCAACAAGACTGAGGAAAACTACCCAAGTTGATCAGGTAACTCAGCATTTCAGTACTGCCAGGCATGCAGGTCACTTCTCAGAGCAGGTAGGAAAAGGAATGACTAGCAGTTCTTCAGGGAAAGATGGCAGAGGGGACACAGTGACGATGGGAAAAGTGCTCCCAGCAGTGGTCCCCAAGCTCTGCTGTCACACAGGCAGCAACACCAAGTCAGCAGTGTGCCATGGACAGCTTTGTACTGTCATGGAATCACTTTCCTACTTCCACAGCACTTCATTCCCCTGCAGAGTCCCAAAAGTAACACCTGACCAGCGTGCCACACTTTGGGAACGACTACCCAAGAGACTTACTTTGTCTGTTCTTTATTGAGGTCTGTTCTTCCTGGATTGTGGTGTCTGTGACCCTGGCAAAGGCAGTTGCTGTTGAACAGTACCCATGATGAACCAAGTACGACGAAACCATACTAAAAAATAAGAAAATACAACCCGATGAAGAGGCATTGATGAAGCAGGGTAATCACGCTGGAGGGAAAAACAGTCAACACAAGGGAAGTTGCAATTTCAGTGACCAACCTCAGCTTGCTTAGGACACAACCAGGGCCCTACTTCTGGGTCCAGACAGTATAAATTTCCTAGATGGGCACTTGGTCCTCAGCAAACAGAAAAGAGACTCTAAATTCCCCTTAAGGCAAAAAAAGCCCCCCAACCAAACCAAAACATTAGGATTCCCACTGCATACACAGTTATTTATTTAATGAATTACTGCTGTCCGAGGGTCATTTGTAAGAGTTCATCACTGTGTTACTGCTAGTTGAGATCTGCACATGACAGATATAGTCCCCTCCTATACAGAGAGAAAACCCAAACCTCAGAGAGGCTCACAGCTTTCAAGTAGATTTCAAAACAAGATTCTGCTCCTGATTTTCTTCCATCACTTTCTTTGCCAGCAATTCTACCTTTAGTAGTTCAATTGTAACGAATTTTACACACTCACAGATACTTATATCTGCTGATTTACAAAGAGTAGACTGTCAGCCTTGATTTTACAAACATTAACACATTTTTAAGTTATATTTTCAAAAAGTGTTAGGGTGGAGGGGACAGGGGGGCTGGGGAATAAGCATCACAGTCAGAAAACAAACACAACCGAAACATCTTTCTGAACTGGCCACTTCTAAAGCATTTGTGCCTTCTCAGGATGGGTTGGTGAATGTTAATGATCCTGGATTTTAACAAAACTTCAAAAGCCAGCACAGGATTTCAAAGCTTCTAGTGATGAATCCCAAAACAAGCTTCTCATAATGAAGCTGGTATTGACCCAATCAAATCACAGCTCAAAACATGGATTCAACTTATGTACTTTCAGTACAAGGAAGAAGTATTTTACGAGCCAGCAGTAATTTTCAGGCATAACATTGTAAGCAGGTGTGTAATTTTTAAAACTTGTTTTAAAAACAAGTGTTTCTGACCACCATTGGTACAAGACAAGGCCTTTGCCCTCGGCATGGTACAGACGGGCGTAATAAAGCACATCCCTCTTCAAACACGGCAGCCAGCTCGCCCTGGCTGGGCCAGGCTGAAACACTGAACAAAGCAATCCAGGCTGGCAGAAAAAAGCCAGATCTTGCCTCAGAGTCATTCAGTAGTCAGAGGCTCAACGCTGCAAAGATTTAAAGGCCCTACAAAGTTGCACAAAGGCTGAGCTCCTCCCTATGCTACTTGTGCCGGCGGCATCACAGGAAGCAGCCCTGCGTGGGTACGCAGACGCACCACACGCCAGTCACTATGCCCGGCTAATTTTCAGCAACGAGTCAGCTCTGTGTCTCAGCTCCGTATTCCAGCAGAGCTGCACGCTCCCAAATGGTCCTGCACCTGGGTTGGGGCA